AACATGAACTGCATATGTAAGAATATGTGAAGGATGAAGATATAACTTTAAGAAAGATTCGGCTTTCACTTAGATCTATAGATCACTGTTTTTCTTCTTACTTGCTATTGGTGGACAGAGTTGTTGATTGAAACTCGGAATCGGATAACAAACAGGAAGATTGTGACATCGAGGATGATGAACACATCTATGGTTAGGTTCATGACAAAGGTTGTTTGAGTGTTCACATGTAACTAGTTCAGAACAATCGACGAATTCATCGCTACAAACACCAATATCAATAGCACCTGCTATATGGAAACAGGCACACGCACTATTTGGCGAACATCGAGCATATTGAGACGTCCCATGGCAGAGTTGAGATTTCACTCGAACTAGCGACATAACGAATTAATAGCAGGACATGCAAAATGAAACAAGAATCAAACCTGTAAGACTTAAAAGAAAGATTGTTTAACATTGGATGAATAGGCAAAAAAATATATATTATAATTACTTGAATAGAATGAATAGGACACAACGAAGTATTATTGAAACCATCGTTTGCGTTGCAATGAAACAGAATAGGAGCGGTATCCATCTTTATATTTAATGAATAGGTATCATTTTCAATATTTGCTGAAGATGAAAAAGAGCACGATGTGATCTTTCGATAAATAGAAATTCGATATAGCTTCAACGCTTACCAGTAATTAATTTTTCTTCAAAAAATTTATCTTTACAGAAGAAAAAATTGCGACACAATCATTCAATAGAGTCGTGTTATCACTCTAAGCATGAATATTGCTGTTGTCGACCATTAAGTTACTTATACAACGATGACTTGAAATAACTTCAAAAACAAAATTTTTCAAAAATCTAGTTCTCATTGGGGTGTGGGTGTGGGTGTGAGCGTGTGAGTGTGGGTAGGTGTGGCTGTGAGAAAAGAGAACAACAATTCCCACACCCATTTTCTCCTTTAAATTAGGATGAAATCCGTTTGTAGTATTTTATCTACCAATTTGGATTGCAAATATTAGCGTTAAAATTGAAACAGTCAACACAGAAAGATTACGATTGTCAGGCATTCTTTGTTCCTACTTGTTTTTGAGTATTTGTGTTTCTTCTTCTTTCCTGTGATCTGCAGTGTCTTCTTTATTTGATGAAAATATGGTCATGGGAATGGTCTTTTTCGTCTGGTTTTGTATTTTGTGAGTTGTTTTCTTCTTTCTATCCCACTTTCTTTCTCCTGTCACTAAGGAACTCTCTTAGTATATGCTGGAGTCAACATCCCTCTTCAAAAAAAAAATATTACGTTTGTTTTACGCTTAATTGAGCTAATTTTATCGACAGTAGGAAGCACATGGCATGCTATTTAAAAAGTAAACTGCATAAAAAAATACTCATGTATGTTTCATTAGAGGAAGAGGTAGTAGGAAGCTGTTCTTTTTGCTTCGGTTAGATAAGTTTTTGAATTAACAGATCTGAGTGGAATATTTTAATTACGTACATTGCTCCTCATATGTTTTGCTGCCTCTGTACAAGGTTGATCTACTTGTATAAAATTTATGATTCATGTTTACAATAGAAACACTTCGTTCGTTAAATCTGACTATTTAAATATTGCGAAATTTTTCTTTCAAAGAAGAATATATTAAAGAAATTGAAGTTTATATGAATGTCCAAGCAACAGGTACGTCATCCAAAACGAATTAGCAAATGCATGAGTTTTTTTTTGAAAGGAAGCAGCAAGAAGAAACTAAACACAAAATCATAGTGCGATTTTTTAACGTAACAGAATATTGAAAAGAGGAAGTGATTTAGAAAAAGCATCTATATAAGCAGGATCCCTTGATGAAGTATATTCAATACAAAAACACAACGACACAAAACCGGATATACAATATTCTACCTGACAAGAAGTATGTCTAATGTGGACGTTGTTCGATTATTTGTAATTATCATAGCTCTCATTTCAGTTTTGAAAGATGCGTACGTTCGCAGTTATTGTATGTGTAATGATTTACATCGGTTATGGTATAGATGTAGCCAAAGCAACCGATGGCATGCCGCTGCCTCCTGAAGGCAGAAAACAAGGGTGTGATGTAGTTGTTGCTAGTTGTGGTGACAAAGGAGCATGCTGTGACGCTCATGATGCATATTGAATACGCTACGATTGCGATTATGCCAGTTGGACTTTAGTTGATAAGTATAGGAAAATTTTTCTTCTCTTTGTACATCGAAAAAGTTGGTGAGAATATTATCATTTCTCAATCAAAACATCAAAAAAGTGCCGCATATCGTACGATGCAGCTAAAGATATCTGATAATAGGAAGATCACAACTAGTGGAAGAATATGTACTGTCGTCTTCTCTAGCTGTATCGTTCTTTTTCGTATTCGAAGCATGCAACCACTCGGTTAATCTTATTTTGTTCTTTCTCTAGGTAGCTCCGCATGTGTTCTCAGCAAATGCTGTCAATGTAATATAGCAGTAATCGCTTGTGTAGCTGCCAGAAATCCAGGTCCATCCACGTGTTGTTCAAGAGGCACTTATGGGCAACCAAATTAGATATCAGTGAATAAGCAACACAATGCATATAAGAATATCCTTTATGTCATTTTAATCAAGCATTTTTTAATTTTATTCTTGAACTGTTGCTGCACATGTATAATTAATAAACTATTTTTTTCACCAAGCTGGAGTTTATACTAAGAACGTCAATGGTACGTGTATCAATCGATTTTTATGTAGCCTGCATATTTTCGATAGGATACATCACTCTTCTTGGTTGAAATTGAATTGATTTCAATAGTACATTTCAGAGCAGCTGTAGTCCTTACCAGCAAACAATAGATAAGAAAGAAATGTAGCTTAACAAAATGTTTTAAAGACAAAACCGGGTGTGGGTGTGGCCGTGTGAGTGTGGAGGTGTATATGGGTGTGGGTATGGATGGTGTGTTGGCGTGAATGTGGGTGCCAGTGTGTGCCTGTGGGGTGTGGATGTGAGTATGAGTGTAGGTGTGGGTGTTTAGTACTATTAGAACAGCCTCTATATCCACACCCAAACCCACCCACACTCACACCACACCCCACCCCGAGTGAGTAAAATCTTGAAAAGCAGTTAATACGAAACAACTGTTTATTAAAGATTGCGTTTCTTTGTTAAACACATATCATGGAACTATTTTACTACTCTTTTGCAACTTACTCTGAACACATTTTTCAAGTTCTATACACGAAATCTCAATAAGATCCAATGGCATTTTTCTAAACAGATAAAAAAAACACAGAGTGTGTATTCAACTGCTGATTTTCTACAAATGGTTTCTTGACAAGACAATCGTATTTAATAGAAAGTTCGCTTAAGATTAATAACTATGCTAGTGGCAGAATTTCATCTATACTACTCAAATTTTCACATCAGAAACTGAATTGAATTAGTCTGATAAAAAAAATTAATTTTTCTTTTTGCATTTATTTCGTTATCGAGCAGGTAAAATGTTGCTGTGATAGGTCTTAGCCTTGAAAAACAAAAGAACGTTATTGTATATCTTATTAAGATGTTAGGCTACGTTGACTGTATTGTTCTAAAAACACTACTAACCAACGATGATCTCTTTTTTCACAGAAAACTATCTCTTTCTTTCTTATTCTATACGTATGAAATAAGTGAAACCAACGTTGGTTCACGGGTCTGCCAAAAAGGATGACTTACCAAAAGCGCTTGGTTTTAGTTTACGAAAACCAATAAAAATGTTTTTGAATGAATAAATGTAATTCCTCTTATGTTCCAAAAATATTTTACTCAACTTTGAATAAGCTGCCCATCGAAAGCAATACTCATATTAAGATTATATAATGTCGAATAAGATAATACATCAATTGGTGAAGTTATCAGTCATCTTGTTCTGATGTATGAGAAAGAAAATAAGTTTTAACAAAAATTCATCTATAAGAGAATTAGTACACCGATAAATAGCGCCATCTATATACACGAAACACTTCTTGAACTAAAACCTTATGTCTAATTCGAAAGAAAAAATAACTTTTTACATTCACTACTGTTAAAATGATCTCCAGTATCAGATACAACCTTTCACATGCATAAATTCGTTACTCAGGCAGCCATTATCAAAATGTATTTATTTTCTTATTCACAAATGATTTTTACAAATATTATGATATATCTATTGGACAAACTCATAAACCAATAGAATTAACATTTTTCTTTGACTAAATAAATGAGCCAATTCGACTAGTTTTTGTTTCACAGTGGCGTAAATTATTTCTTATGAGAAAAAAATGCCAATAAAAAAATGTTCTGCTATTGTTTTTTGTGATTTTGATGGTACAATAACTTCATGTGAAACATTTGTTGGTGTATTAAAACATTTTTCTCCAGTATTATCAAATGAAATAATACCAAAAATACTTTCAAAAGAAATAACATTACGTCAAGGTGTAAGACAAATTATTGAATCAATACCATCATCTGTTTATCCTGATGAATTACTTAATTTTGTTCAAGATAAACCAATACGTTCAGGTCTTTTATCATTAATAGATTATCTTGATAGTCGAAATATTCCATTTATTGTTGTTTCTGGTGGTATTCGATGTTTAATTGAAACTATTCTTAAACGTGAAAATTTATTAGAACGATGTTCAAAAATTTATGGAATTGATATTGATTCAAATCAAGAAAAATTAAAAATTATATCAGAATGGGAAACAGAAGATGAATTAATAGGAAAAGTTAATATAATTAAACATGAATGTCAAAATAATGAAAAAATAATTGTTATTGGAGATTCTTTAACTGATTTAAATGCATCAAAATATGCAAATATAGTTTTTGCACGTGATAGATTATGTCATTATATGAAAGAAGAAAATATTGAATTTATTGAATGGATAGATTTTGAAGATATAAAAAATAAACTTCAATTAATGGAAGATTATTTTCTATTTTAGATTTTTAATTTATTACGAAATAAAAAAAAACAAATTTTGTAAAAATGCAACATGCACCACCAGGTTGGCCAGGTGGACAATATCCACCTAATACAATGATGCCACCATCAATGATGATGATACCACCATTATTACCACCAACAGGACAAGTTGGAAGTAAGTTTTTAATAATTATCAATTTTCAAAACAAAAAATTCTTTTCATTTTTAGTGAATGGTACAATGAAAGTAAGATTGAAATGAATCCCTTATGACCTTCTATTAGTATTGTGCAGATGAGAATATTAATTTCATAAATGAGTTATATCAAAAATATATATATATTTTTTTTTCAGAGTGAAGAAGGTTATTCAAGTCCAGCATCACATGAAAAGAAAACATTATGGACAGAACATAAAGCACCTGATGGTCGAACTTATTATTATAATTCAATATCAAAAGAATCTCGTTGGGAAAAACCAGATGAATTAAAAACACAAGCAGAAGTTTATATTTATTTTTAACTTAATAATTATTTTTGTTTTGATTTTTTTTTTTTTTAGCTTTTATTATCACAATGTCAATGGCGTGAATATAAAGCTGAAAATGGACGTATTTATTATCATAATGTTGATACAAAAGAATCACGATGGACAAAACCAAAAGAATTAGAAGATATTGAAAAAATGATTTCACAACAACAAACTTCTAATGAATCACCAAATATGTAAATTAACAAAAAAAATTAATAAATTTTATTTCTATATATATATATATTTTTATTCATTATAGTACCGGATCTCCAGCAACACCACTTACACCAAATATACCACCACCAATGATGCCACCATTTGGTATTATGCCACCAATGATACCACCATTTGGTACATTTCCTCCAGCATCAATGATGGCTTCAATGCAATCTATGACAACATCACCAGCAACAAATGAAATTGATTTACCATCAAATGAAAATAGTCATGATGGTAGTGAAGATGGTAATAGTGATAAAGTTAGTAATAATAGTCCAGCAACAAATAATGAACCACAAATTAAAATTGAATATGCATCTAAAAAAGAAGCTATGGATGCATTTAAAGAATTACTTCGTGAAAAAAATGTTCCATCAAATTCAACATGGGAACAAGCATTAAAATTAATTGGTAATGATCCACGTTATGCAGCAATAAAACATATTAATGAAAAAAAACAAACATTTAATGCATATAAAGTTGCACGTATTAAAGAAGAAAAAGAAGCTGATCGTTTAAAATTAAAACAAATAAAAGATGATTTTGAATTATATTTACAAAATTGTGAACATATGAATTCAACAATTAAATATAAAAAAGCTGAACAATTATTTGGACATTTACAAGTTTGGTCAGCTGTACCAGAACGTGAACGACGTGAATTATATGAAGATGTTGTTAATTATTTAGAAAAAAAAGAAAAGGTTTTTAACGAAATTAGAAATAATAAAAATTAATCAGATCTAAGAAAATTTAAGGCCCCCACCCCCCTCAAAAATCGAGGTACATTCAAATGGGCTGAAGTAAGGTGGCTTTAGTAAAATTTTCAGCTCGATACCCTGACGTTTGACAGAGATATGAACCAAACAAGGGTCAAAAATAGTTCATTTTGCTTCCAGGCTCATGCAATATGTTTATTTTTTTTTCTTTTGGTTAGAAAGAGCATGTCAGTATGCGGGGCACCAGAGAGTCCTTTTTTTTTTAAATTCTTACTTTTTTAGCGGAGAAAGGGGATCGCAAGTTCAATGACTCAAAAAATAGGTGCCTAGTTACATAAATGTCTGTATATATAATAAAAAACAAAGCTTTATAAAAAAAAAAAAGGACTCTGTGGTGTCCTACATCTTGACATGCTCTTTCAAATAAAATAAAAAATTTATATATATTGAAAGACACTGGACCGAAAAAGATTTTCGGTTTTTGTCCAAAAATGGCTTATTTTTGTCATTTACGAAAGAGCAGATCATGAGCTATCATTTCCTATGCATTTATCTTAATCGCGAAATTTTTGAGGGGGGGGACCTTAATAGAATTTTATATTAGATATTATTTTGTAATAAAAATTTTCAAAAAAAATTTTATTTTTTAGGAAGAAGCTAAAGCATTAAAAAAACGTAATGTTAAAGCATTGAAAGATATTCTATCTAATATGTCAAAAGTAACATATCGAACAACATGGCAAGAAGCTCAAAGACTTTTACTTGATAATGTTGATTTTGTTAATGATACTGAATTACAAAGTAATGAGAATTTTATTATTAATTATTATTATTATTATTATTTTTTCAATAGATATGGATAAAGAAGATGCATTGATTGTATTTGAAGATCATATTCGTGAATTAGAAAAAATTCATGAAGATGAATTAGAAGCACAACGAAAATATATTCGACGAACAAATCGAAAAAATCGAGAAGCATTTTTAGTAAGAAAACAAAATAGAAAAATTTTTTTTTATTCAAAAAAAAAAAATTCTCTTTTTTTTTTTGTCAAAGTATTTTCTTGATGAATTACATGAACAAGGTAAACTTCATTCAATGTCATTATGGGTTGAATTATTTGGTATTATTTCTAATGATGAACGATTTAGTAAAATGCTTGGTCAACCCGGTATAAATAAAAAAATAAAACTTAATATTTTATTTTATTTATATTAATATAGGTTCAACACCATTAGATTTATTTAAACTTTATGTTGAAGATTTAAAAGCACGTTTTCATGATGAAAAAAAAGTTGTAAAAGAAATTTTAAAAGATAAAGGTTATTCTATTGATATTGATTCAACATTTGAAAAATTTGCTGAAATTATTTCAACTGATAAACGTGCTGCAGCTTTAGATGCTGGAAATATTAAATTAGCATTTAATAGTGTATGTAGTTTTTGTATTAATTATTTTAATTTTTTTTTTTTTTTGTTTCTTTTATAGTTAATGGAAAAAGCTGAAATAAAAGAAAAAGAACGTTTAAAAGAAGAAGCACGAAAAGTAAAAAAACAAAAAAAAATTTTTATTTCAAAAAAAAAAAACAAACTTATTATTATTTTATTTAGCAAAAACGACTTGAATCAAATTTTAAACAATTATTAAAAACAAAATTAGATTCATTAACAGAACAAACAAAATGGGATGATATTAAAGGACAAATTGAAAATGATAATGATTATCTTTCACTTTCATCTGAATCAGATCGTATTCGTCTTTTTGAAGATTATCATCGACATATTATTGCTGAAGCACAAGCAGCAGCAGCCGCTGCTGCCGCCGCTGCTGCTGCAGCTGCAGCTCATCATTATCATCATCATCATAAAAAAGCACGAAAAGAAAAGAAAAAACGTAAACATGAAAAATCAAATAGCAATAATACAGCAGCAGTGAGTGTAAGTAGAAAAATTAAATTAAAAAAAAGGAAAGTATTAAAATTGATTTTTATAGGAATCCGATAGTGAAGAAAAAAAGAAATCTATAGCAGCTCCAACAACAACAACCCCGACACCTCAATCAGCTCCAATAGATGCACCCGAAAGTGATGAGGGTGAAACAAAAGATAGTGATGGTGGTGGTGTACCATCTAATTCTGTTCCAATAATTCCAACATCTGAATCAATAACAGGAACAAAATCAAAAAAAAGTAAAAAATCAAAGAAAAAACGCAAGAAGAAAGCAACATCTGGTCATTCATCAGTTTGTATTTTTTATCTTTTTATATTATTGATATAATTTAATTTTTTTTTTTGTTCTAGAGTGAAAGTGAATCCGATGATGAATCAGCAAGTGGATCAATAAAAAAGAAAAAGAAAAAAGACAAATAAATGAATGAATATAGATAGAAAAAAAATAAAAATAAAAATAAACACATATGTAACTTTTTCTTATTGTATTGTAATTGTTCATGTTTACTTACAAATTTTGTTGTTCGACGAAAAAAAAAAACAAAAACAAACTTCTCTTCGTCGATTATGAAGAGATTAATTTTCTTGTCTTTTTCAGATTTTATATTATCATGTCCAGTAAGTGTTCATTCTAAATCATTATTTTATAATTGAAATCATAGTAGCAGAAAAAACGTTTTGATCAATCGTACTTCCTTTTAATTATTGACTTTTATTTTTAAGGTATTTATACACGTTCACAAATGCCTGATGCTAAATTAGGTTGTGCTAAATGTGGATATGGTATATAGAAATTTTTTTTTGTTTTTTGTTTTGTTAATAGAACTCTTTATTTAGTTGGTCATTTAACGTATCAATGTCGTAATTTTCTTCAAATAAATCCATCAAAAGCTGTTGTACTTGATGTTAGTTCAACGAGTTCACCATCGAGTGATGATGATAATGATACACCACTTCAATTACTTGCTCGAGGTAAATATTTTTTTTATTGATTTATACAAAATAAATTATATCCGTTATAGAAGAAATAAATCATGAAAAACAACAAGAAGAAAAAAAACAAATAAAAACAAATACAAAATCTAAAAAACATGATAAAGCAAAACATAAACGACAGTAAATATTTTTTATATATATATATTGAAAATAATTTTTCAAAAAAATGAAAAATATTTTTTATTATAGTCGATCACCAAGTACAAGTAGTTCAACGGAATCAGAATCGGAAGCAAAAAAATCTAAACGAAAACGTCATCATAAACATCGACATCATTCATCAAAATCAAAGAAATCTAAAAAAGAATCAAAACATCATCGTCATCATTCTTAATTTTTCTTTAGAGCAATGTCTTGTATATTTTTTTTTTCATCTTCTATTAACTGATGATAATCTTGTTTTCTATGTCTATGTTGAAAGGATTAATTCTTTGAAAACGTTTTCGAAAAAAAAAAAAATTTTTTTCAAATTTAAATTATATTTGTTAAAATATCTCAAAGATACGAATAATATCGATAATTCTATTCGATTTGAAAGTATTAATGTAATACCACTAACAAAAAGTGAATTCATTTATATGAATCTATTTCATTCATCTATAAAATAAATATAAAATTTCAGTTTCATTGTTGAGAACCGGCTATATATATATTTCATTAATGTAATGGCTTAAAATATAACAATTTTACTCTTTGTATTATATTAATGATTTGCATTGAATGTAAGATAAATAATTGAATTTTTATGGTTGGATATACCAAGAAATATAAATAGATATCTTTTAGGAAATGAATTTCATATGTATGAATTAATGACAATAGTAAATTTTTTATTTATAAATACAAAATGATAGAGAATTCGATTTCTATA